AATACCCCGAAATAGGGAGATTGGGGAAAAACCCAAGGCTATGGATAACTATTTTGGGGCAGTTTTCACCCAGGAACCTCTCATAGACATAGAACCAGATTCAAATACAGAGTAAACAGACCAACTGCTCACCGTGGGCTCTGATCAAGACATTGTACTTAAGGCTCTTAACATCTTAAATATGGAAAAGTCAATAGGAACAGATGAACTACACACCAAAATCTTGGGACATATTGCACAATATATCGTAGCCCCACTGACTGTGATATTAAGTGTCACTTGACCAAGATGTGTTACCTATGGACTGGAAGGACCCAATCGTCACTCACACACATAAAACAGGGCCAAGGCAACTTCCTCCGAACTACAAACCTGTAAGCCTCAACAGTGTTGTAATTAAAATACTGGAAGGAATAGTCAAACAGACCACAATGATATTTGTGGAAACCAATAACCTATAAAAACAGTGAACAACATAGTTTCAGAAAGGGTTTATCTTGTACAACAAACTTCCTTATAGCAGGGGAATATTGGATGTTGCATACATAGACTTTCACAAAATGCTAACAAATAAACTGCTATTGAAGTTGGAAAATCTTAGTTTTTCTTTACAACTCTCGATTCGTTCCTTTTTTATTAACCAAATATCAAAATAGGAATTTTCACAATCTTGGAATTGCCGGGCCTTTTTTAAAATGGCTTAAGGATTTCCTAGTAAGTCGAAGACTGAAAGTAAGGACAAATTCCACGTGCTCCACCTGGAGACCAGTACCTAGTGAAGTACATCAAGGTTCTGTCCTAGGTCCTTTACTTTTTATACTGTATGTAAATGATCTCCCAAGTATAGTGCAGTTACCAATGTTATTATACGCTACAGTGTGAAAATCTGGCGAGTAGTAACCAGAGATGCAGACGCATGCGCACTTCAGGCCAACTTAAATAATGTGAATAGGTGGCCTAAAGAGTGGCTGATGCCTATCAACCCGTCAAAGTGTGTCTACATGCACTTTGTGGATACAAGGGTTAATCGGTACAGCATAGGGGAAGTGCATGTACCCGTGTTCCAATTGCATAAGAATCTTAAAGTGACAGTAAGTCACCATCCTAAGACGACGGCTCATTGCCTGGAGGTTGTAGCTAAGAGCTTTAGAACCCTTAAGGCTTTAAAACGAACATTCACTAGGTTAGATTCTACCATAATCATCACAGTATACACAACTTTAGCGAGAACTAAGCTTGAGAACTGCGTTCAGGCTGCAAGCTCCTGTTTAAAAGGTGACTCGGATATCTTAGAAGAAGTACAGAGGGCAACTACCCATGCAATTCCAGAACTGCGTGGTTTATCATATAAAGAGCGGCTTGAAAAGCCCGACCTCAAGGTCTACGACAGGGTTGTAGTGACTCAAATTTATCACGAGAGCACGATTGGTTTATTGAAAACAATTATTATTATGACCAATTGTACCAGAAACTGTCTTAATTTGCTTTTGTTTAACTATGCTATAAAGCATCCATTCTTCTTACACTTTGATTGTGACTTCGCACGAATTCGGTTACGTTCTGTAACCAAGCTTGTATCCTGGCATGATCTCGGTATCCTTTCGATACCACGAGATCGCCAGCAAATATATCTCGACTTGGTCCATTAACTGCCTTCTGATATTTGGCTTCCCGGGGATTTTATGGATTTATTTGGCACGTGTTTCTTTTTAGCGGTGTTTATAGGCTACGCGACTCTACTCCACGCTACAGGGTAATGATCATTACTCTGTTCTATCTCAGACTAATGGCAGATCTAATTTTGATGTACAGAATGCTAAGAAATAATTTTGGACCTAAAATACCCTCTCATTTTCTTTCCACTAGATCGGGACACCTCAGGGGCATTGCAGGAGAGTAGAGAAGCCAAGAACGAACGAAATATCCGTGCCATATATGTTTCTGCACCGAGCCATGACTACTTAGAACCTGTTACCCAAAGCAGTGGTGTCCGCATCTTCAACTGACTAATTTAAGAAAAGACTGTACACTAACAGAAGCATACTAGGAAAGGAATAACGTGGGCTGTAGGCCTTCTGTCATAACTGCACAAATTTTAATCTGAAATCGTTGCTATTTAGAGGGACAATGGCATTTTTCCTCGCTGAGTAAATTATATTGTTTTGGTCGTTTATCACGTATCAAGACTACTGTTTTCACTTTAATTTAATTTATTTCAGTTAAAGTACTCGATTAGAGTATCGTTTCTGTTTCTAAAGTAGCTTAATGTCGATACTTTTGAGTACATTTTTTCTATTGTATCTATTTAATACTTTTGGTACTAACAATTTACAATTTTCAAAGTTTTTGGTCATAGATCATTTTTATCTCTGAGTAGTATTGTATCCAGTTCTTTTTGTAAAAAGGAGCTCTGTTTAATGATAGGACAGTGCGAGAAAAGCAATTGTCAACGTCCAGGCTGTTGATATCCCGTTGAATGAGGCATGCAGTGCGATGAGTGCAAAGGCTGGTATCACGACGTTTGCACGGATTTAACGCCCGCGGCTTTTAAACGGCTCAGGAAAAACGGTCGCGTATGGCTCTGTCAACAGTGCTGTTCAGACGCAAGCAGCTTGCTAACCGAGGCCATCTCAATGGTAAACGTTGCAAAAACACTGTCTCGACGAGCGTGGTTGGGACACATCGGACAGTACTCGCTCTGTCGACAAGCAAATTGGTGTGAAGCAAACTCAGGTGAGTTAGAAAAAAGCTGACTCACACCAACCAGAGGAGGAAAAACAGTCTTCAAAGAGGTCTTTCCTAATTAAAACTTCAAGAGAAGAAGTTTCTTCTGTTCCCCGTTTTCTAAATGGTATCCAGCAGGAAACGCCTAGAAGCCGCAACCGCAAGGTGCAGTCGGTTTCTAGCGATGAACATAACCTAGCCTCTCAAGTCATCGACAACCCTCCGGAATCTCGCAGTATAATTGAGGCTGCTGTGTTTGCTTCTCCAAGCAACATTGACGAATGCGTACAGGTTGTAAGGACGAAACAACATAACGATATAAAACGAATCCTACCCCCATAAAAGTAATCGAGAAATCGAAGGCTGATCACAGTGACAGCTCAGTTATTTTTCATAGAATCAAAGAGAATGAAAACTCTGGACCATAACCTCTTTTTGAGCATGGCATTGTGCTGATAAAACAGCTACTTAATCAAGTCACGCCTCAAAATGTCCCCGGAGTCACCTTGCTAAAGGTGTACAGACTAGGTAGTCTAGAGAACTTGAAGCCTTATTAATCCGGACTACTTAAAGTAGTATTCAAATCTTCAAATGAACGCGACTTAATTTTACAGAATGGACATAAATTAAAGGGTTCAGTAGTTTTTATCCTTAAGGACCTGCCGTTGACAGACCGCGTAAAAAGAGGGGAAGCCGTAAAAGAACTACAACTTAGGTTAGACGCTGGAGAAAAAGACACGAAAATTGTAAATTTTTGGCTTGCAAGGCTTCGACAGAGGATGGTGCTGAATCCACTCTGGGTGAAGTACAAAGTCACTTAAATAGGCTTCGGATCTGCTACACTAATTTCCGAAGCTTACTTAATAAGCGATCGGAACTAGGTGGACAGATTGACTCTGCAAAGCCAGACATAATCTCAGTCACAGAAACCTGGCTGACACAGTCTATAGATAGTATGGGACTTGATTTCGAGGGTTTTACGTTAGTAAGGGCAGACAGAATCCGTATGCGTAAAGGAGGAGAAGTAACTCTAATCATTAAAAATGCTATCCCATTTGCCATTATCGACCGTGTATCCCATGAGAGCGGGACGTGTGAATTAGTTATTTGCCTCTTGAAATGCAAAGGACAAGAACTGCTGATTGGTTTGGTCTATCGCAGTCCAAGCTTTGAGGTAAATGAAGTCCTGCTTAGCAGTCTCAATACTTGGTCACATAGTGCTTGTGACGTACATGTGACGTTGAGAACCTCGATTACATGTTAACCCTGGGTAAAAGTGATCACGTAGTTCTAACTTTTGACTTCCATGTAACAGTCAATCACGAGCACTCGTCAGCTAAATTTAGACCTAACGTCTTGAAAGCAAACATCCAAGATATCATAGACTCAGCATCGTCAGTAGATTGGACAATAGAGCCAGAGTTCTCATTTGAAACGGTTTGGGACATCTTTCGAAATTTATGCTGTAAGTTACTGCACCCCACATCCCTTGGACTACACTAAAGGGGCCGATAAGATCTCCACCATGGTTCAGTAGGGAGGTCGGCATCCTTCTCCGTAAGAGAAGAAAAATGTGGGATAGATTTAGGTTACTGTCAACGGATGAGATAAAATCTCTGTATCGAAAAGCTCAAAATACATGTGCCTCGACCCTCCGCATGTCTAGAACGTTGTAAGAAGAGGAAATTGTTAAGGAATTCATGGAATGTTCTAAACGCTTGTATTCCTATATAAACCAAAAGACAAAAGAAAGAAGGGATATTTTTATGAAGTTTTGTTCCCTGAGTTGGATGGTTTGGTAGTGGAGCTTCCATTGTTCTTCTGAGTGACAACATCGGCACAAACTTCGGACAAAAGTGAAGTGTTCGAATTTCTTCACATGCGTTTCACAGCTTCTTCTGTACACCTAGATGTTGACTGGTTCTGATTGACCTTGAATTTGTCAGTTTACTTGTTTGTTCTGGTTTGATTTTTGTCCATATATTTGTGCATAATTTTCCTGATTGGTTGATAAATTGGATCGATTTCAATGTGCCCGTTGATTGCTGACTGACTTGAGTGTCGGGCTTCTAAAAATTCTCCAGTGTTTTTGCAATTTCCTCTGTCCAAGATTTCCACATTTTTCCGATCGAATGAGTGCCCGCAGTTGTCCACGTATGTTGATATAAGTGAGGAAATATCATGTGGTGTTGATTTTTTTAAAAATGTCTTGATTTGACCGCTTTTGCAAAACTTCACGAATTGTCGGTGTGACGCACCAATTATCTTACTATAGTTTGACCTTCAAGTGCTCGCAAACTCCACCAGTGGACGATACACTTGAAGCTTCCAGTCTCTGTATCGACCTCTAATGTTGCAGGCGATTTATCCATATGAAGGTCCTTTCCCCGGAACCTTGAAGTTTTCTCGAGACGAAATATTTTTAGATATCCGAGAGGAAAACGAGTATTGGCGTTTGGTTTCCAAAACCGACGGGACTCTAGGATGTGTCCCTACTAATTTTGTTAAGCGATATGAGGTAATTTTTCATGCAACATTCGAATTAAATTGAAAGGCTAAAAATGAGGATTTTGTTCAGCAGTGTGCCAAAAAAGCTCTAGCGAACCTAACAGCCAGTTCGTCGGAGGAACTTCAGGGAAAAGAAGACTTAGTGAAGTAATTCAACTTCTCTACATTGCTGTTTTAGACGTTTGCTTCAAATATCCAAGGGGAAACCAGACGAAAGTACAGCACTTTGTGGAGAACTTTCTGAGCTAAAAATAAGTGCTCCTGAAAAACCTGGAACTATGACTGGAACAGGTTGGTTGTACTTTCCTATACTTCTGTCTTAGCAACCGGGTTGCACCATCTCTCACACTAAGTTGACTTAAACCATGTGCATTTGATTGGGGCATTTCACCATTTCAGTCATAAGGATAGGATGTCTATCGACCTATATTAATTCTTGCAGTTTGTAATACTGTGGAAGTCTAATCTTGTTTTGAATATCTCAACAAAAGGTGCTGATATTACGTGTTCCGGTAGAGAATTCCAGTAATTCACTACTCAGTGCGAGAAACGAAACTCCAGACGTAAACGATTTGATCTCGGTTTTTGAACTTTCTTCGAATGTTCTCTCAAATGACCAGTCCTAGACGGAAGTAAAAGATAAGACATGTTAATACCAAGGTCATCGTTCAGTATACGATAAACCAATATTAGATCACCCCGTATTATACGGTAAGGTAACGGAAATAAGTTGATGTATCTCAGTCTGTCTTCGTAAGATAGGGCAGATAGACCTTTCACCATCTTAGTACATCGTCGTTCGTTTCTTTCCAGCATCTCTGCTTCGTACATGAAACAAAGACTCGCTGCTTGAATCCCATATTCTAAATGTGGTCGCACATAAATCGGGTATAATAATTTAAAATTTTCGTCATCTAAATACTAGAAAGACCTACGAATAGACCTTAGTACCCTATAGTCTTTCGCAGCAGCAGCCTTACAATGATTAGTGGTTTTGAGATCATTGCTTAATATGACTCCTTAATGTTAATAGTTTCTTACTTTGGGTAGCACGAGTCCACATATTGTATAGTGATACAGTTCATCATAGTTTTTAATTGCATCACCGCACTCTTATTAGGATTCGCTTCTAGTGACCACCTGTCTAACCATGCCACGATTGAGCAAAGATCATCCTGTAATGCTATTCTATCCGACATACTGTGTATCGGTCTCCAGTGAAGAGTAGAACGGATGATTTTGCTACAGTTTGTAATTCATTTACATAAATTAACAAAAAAGAAGAGGACCGAGGATTGTATCTTGGGAAACTCCACTTCTTACAGGTACCAACGAGGGGGGAGCTCCATTAACCCTTACCCTTTTGTCTCCTGTCATGGAGAAAGTTACTTGTCTAATCTACTGCTGTATAATGGATTCCAAAACGTTCCAGTTTGGATTTGAGACCAGGATGAGAGACCTTATCGAAGGCCTTACTTAGATATATAAAGATCACATCCACAGGAATATTCCGATCTTTTGCAGCAGCCCGATCTTCTCTTGCAATGAGATTTGTCAAGCATGATAGGCTTCTCTGAAAATTATGTTGTTCCCTGGAGAAAAGATTATGCCGTTCAACATAGTTTATAACAGATATCTCAATGGTTTTTTCCATCAGTTTTACAACCGCACTAGTCAAGCTAATGGGCCTGTAGTTACTAACTAAATACCTACTCCAAGCCTTATACATCGGACTTATTATAGCGTCTTTCAAGTCTCTGAGCAGTCTGGACTGCCCAACTAATGTCATATTATTGCTTTACATTCTCATCACAATTAATATTCGTAGTTGTGAAATAACTCGTTCGTAGGGAACTATGCGTAAAGTGGTTAAGCTTCTAACTGCGGATATGTCGTGTACTTATATTTGAAGTATTAATAATGTATGGTGAAGTGAGGTTTCTTTCTACTCATTTAATGTTCAATTGGTAACCGTAAATTAATATTGTCAAGTTAAAAATATAAGCTTTTTGCCGTTAGTGCCCAATTTCTATGCGCCTCTTATGCCCGATATAAAACACAGTCAGACAGAAAGTTTGTAGCTTTATTTTCGTTCCAATGTTGTAGTTCGTTTGCAAAGTACAGCTTCGTATACTAGATGCGCATGTTTATCAGGTTAGTTTGTAATTTAAACTCGATCCAATCAAAACCTGGGACCGAAAACAAACGTCCGTTGCTACTATATTATTACCGTAAAGTTTGTAAGATGGATAAAAAGGTGGAAACAGTAGTACTATTCGTCATAAGAAGAAAACTAGTCACGGAAGGTATGATTTAAAATGACAATAAAGGGAACAAGTGTGCAAAATACTATCGGGACTCAAGGTCTGAGGGAGGATAACGAATAAATGATGTGCCACTGCGATTGTGAACCTTAAGATTTCCCTGTTTTCTTAACGGTTGCGCCGTCAGGCAGCATCATCCTTTAAGGTTGGTGTTAGTTAAGCATACGTTACATATTGTAACTGAAAGGAGTACCAAAGAAGTACATTAACCTTGTAAAGGCTCTCTACTCGAACACAACTGGTCGAGTGAGAGCTTATACCGAACTGTCATCAGAATTGATCACCTCAAGTGGTGTTCGTCAGGGCTGCCCACTCTCTCCATTCTTGTTCAACTTTGTCGTCGACGTACTTTTAGAGATAACACTTTCCTCGTCTAAATTTCCAGGGGTTGAACTTCTACCGGGAGGTTCACTTGTTAACTTAGAATATGCTGATGACATAGTTTTATTTGGTGAAGACGCTGACAAAATGCAGCCTTCTGACCACTCTAAGAAACAATGCAAGCATGTTCGGAATTCGATTCTCCCCCTCGAAATGCTAAATGTTACTTCAGGATTGGGTTGCATTGACACCCGAACTAATGATATGGAGTGAAGTAATTGGGCGTGTCGATCTCTTCACTTATCTTGGAAGTCTCATCAGCGCTTGTGGTCTGGTGTGTGACGAAATCTCAGCACGGATGCAGAAGACTCGACTAGCTTTTACCAACTTGTGTCATTTATGGCGTAGGCAAGATATCCGTCTATCAACCAAAGGACGGGTTTACTGCGCAGGAGTTCGTTCCGTCCTACTTTATGGCAGTGAAACGTGGCCGGTAAGAGAAGAGGGTATTCGTAGGTTCCTAGTACTTGCTCATAGATGCCTTCGAAATATTGCTCGTATATCCTGGGACCATCGAGTAAGTAACTCAGTTGTTAGGAAACGGGTACTAGGTAAGGATGGCAAATCAATTGATGAAGTGGTGAAACTTCATCAGTTGAGATGGCTGGGACACGTGTTACGTATGCCCAACGACCGATTGCCTCGACGTGCGATGTTCAGTGGTATAGGAGTAGGTTGGAAGAAAGCTAGGGGCGGCCAGACCAAAACATGGCACAAGTCCATGAAGTCACTGACAAGTGGACTGAGTCATGTCCGTAGGTGTAGACTACCTGGTTGGGGACCGCGAGATGATAGCAACCGATGGTTAGAGACCCTGAATGATATGGCTCAAAATCGTTTGCAATGGCGCAGGTGCATACACTCTTTGTGTTCTCCCAAATTTTGATCTCCTTATTCCTCCTTGTCTCTTTTTTTTCTCCCAAATTTATTTCACTGTATTATGCTCTTTAAATGACATCTCCAAACACTAATTTTCCTGATTACTGCTTACACTCTTATTACCTTTACCACTACGGGATTTGAATCGACCACTGCATCTGTGTGCTAATGTGGTGTGGCAACTCGAACTGATGTACGTACGTACGAAGTTCTACGTTGTTACTGTCTGACTGACATATTTTAACCGCATTAGTTGATAGAGATTCACTTGCTAATCTTTATGCAGTACCCTGTCCTTACTCTGATATAATAGGGGATAAAAGGTGAACTACAAAATCATAACAAGAAGGTTCATACGGCATGTAAGTAAATAATCAAGTACATTGCTTAGTTAGTCCCAGTTTAGATAGAGATCTAGCCAAGAAAAACTCAGTTAAGTGACCTTATCTTACATCCATGGAGAATGTAATTGAAAACTCCTGGATCGCTACCAACTTCCATTATGAGCTATACTTGGTATCTTTTTAAGTCGCGATGTTTCATTACCCCAGTTAAGGGGTTGTGAGTGACCAATATACATTCCTTACATCTATCTTTTATATCACGATACCATGCCATAAATTTGATGCCACTCCACTCACCTAGCTCCGATCTTGGCAGATAGTAGTTGTTGAGATCTCTAGGATGGCTTTGTGAAATAGAACCATGTCACTAAGTTCGGTGTTTAAAGCTGGGGTCACCAGTCGAATTATCGTCACCACCCAAGCACCTCGGCGTTACTGCCTTGAATTTGTGAATGGATGGCGACTCTCTAGAGATAACGATGATCAGAAACAATCACCAGACATCCCCAACTCGATCATCATACAGTTATTCGACAAATGTCCGTCACTCAGTATACTTATCCTTTAATGACGAGACTTTCAGAGTAAATAAGTTGTTCAACACTACTACGTCACTTCCCATATACAAACTGAGCAACAACACAAGCCAGTCTTCGAACAACAGTTGGAATTTGGGGGGGATCGAAATACATCTCAAGCACTTTTGCATTGTTACTTGAGGTGTCTGAAACACTTCATTTTATGTTTGGTTTTCATTTGTAAGGTCTCCTCTAAATAACTTATGAATTTTTGTACCAATAGTGATAAATGTTCCATTTACGACCTTTTTTTCTAGTTGGATTAATACCTGGAAAACCTTCCCCTGCTAAACAAAGCATTGGTTTACCAAAGAATTTTGAATCCTGCTTAGTGGATACAATCAGACTTGGTACAAATTGCTCATATGCAGATTGTCGATCTGTCTATTATGCAATTGTTGATTTACTGTCCACTATTCCGGAGCTAAAACAAAATTTTCAAGGCTATAATTCAGTAATGAATAAACGTTTTAAGCAAATCATACCAGTTGAAAGTTAACGCTGTTAATAAGTATTTGTTTTCTGTTTGTGTAGACTTTGGTTATGTATGGTAATTGACCATTGACGAAATAAATCATATTCTATGTATAATCACTTGAATATCACCATTAGTGAAGCGAATACAGTACTCTAACGATCGCTAGCAACGGAACGCATTTCGATGTGCTTTTTACTCTGTTCGACAATGAGTTCTCGCCAGGATACTTATACTTCTAAAGCCTTGGTTTCTCAAAAACAAGAAACGAAGCAGTGACCATCTTTTTGACTATCTTATGTTTGTCATCTATATCCACTTTATGCTGAATGTGTTCACTAATACAAGTGTAAATAGCCAATACTTCACACCAAATATTTACCTCGAAATATATTGAAAAGGCATAATTGGCAAGTCGAGTAACTAATATTTCACGCACCTCTGACGTAATCATGGTTAAATGGATAAAATCAAATTTTAATAGTTGAATTCATAAGTCGACATAAGCTAGACCACTATGGAAAACCTGGAAGCACTGGTAGTCTAACTTACATCGACTCATAAATTCAACTATTAAAATTACTACAATCTCCACAAACCCCATTCTGATAATAAGAATCAAATTTATCAGTTTAAAATTCTATTAGTTTCTCTTTGCTCTTAGCTTAAAATATTTTGGTTCAATTGTTCTTTTCACCCATTACTAAATTTCAGTCTGAACCAAATAAATGTCGCAAGTAGCTAACTAAAAAACTTTAAAGATAAAAACAGGATTATCTTATTTCTGACTAGTCATAGATTTATAATCTTGACGTTAGTAGAATATATGTTTAAAAATACGAGTGTCTATCAGAGAGCAAAGTATAAACTCGGTTTTACTGATTACCTTTCACTTAAGTGGATCTTAGAGATTGACAAAAGCAACAAATGTTTTGAGCTTTTTTTTATCTTAAAACAAGAAACGGGGTATAGACAAATCGCTCTAAGGTGACCTTTCGTCAACTTACAAGTAACTCCTTGCTAACACATTTCTGGTACTACAAAAGTATTAACATCACAAAGCTTCTGGTCATCCAATGCTCACCACTATGTTTAGTTATTGCAGTGTGGTAACTGTTTTATTACAGATGTTTAATTGGACAATCCAGAAATTGAACTGGACGGTTTTTGACCTCCCAGTCAATAGAATCGTATGGCGTACTAATCCGTCATTACACTATACCAGCAAATATTAAATTAATAAGGTGTAAAACTAGGCATTAACAATAATGGCACCTGGAGTAGTAGAAAACTAAAATAGATACGGTCGACAAATAATGATTTTTAGTAAGTGAAAGATAAATAGTGAGTCTACATGTGTTACCTATGTCTGTTACAAGCCTTAAAGTCTCTGCCTGTCAACTTTTGATGTCACAGACTCGAAATAGAAAACACGCAGTTCAAGAACTTATATTTGAACCTTATATTTTCTCATACCCTTACTTAATTACATTTTGATCTCTTCAAAAGTGTCCTTTGATCTGCCAAATCTACGTCTGACTAACTACCGTCACTAATAAAATACATCTAACTTAGCGCCCATTCAGATTTTAAGCTCTTTCCTAATAATTTCATGTGGAATTCTCCAAGTGATATCTCTAGTTATATTTTCCAAAGTATCTTTTTGACTCCACCTGTTGAGACGTAAGTGTGGTTTGTCGCACAACTTAGCCGGGTTTTAGTCTCCTTGTTGTCACAATGAGGAGTACAAGTAAATCGCCATCAGTCACAGAATTGCTTATGACTAACCATTTTGTTTTAGACCTCATATACAGTGGAAACCGAACTGGATTACTCACGAAGTCCTGATTGGTATCTTCTTAAAATTAAACTTGGATATTTTGAATCCCGACAAAGTAATGATCAAGAATGTAATTGGGGATTGCATGAGGACAGTCATGAAATCGTTGAACGACTAAATGAGCTAAATACTCTTCTGGTAATTCTTATCGTTTCTGTTATATTTCAACTAGCTTTCACTGTTCCATTTTTTTTATAAACACTACTATCCTTAACAGTGTTTTTAGTTTTTTACACAATTGCGATTGTTCTAGTGCGTAGAATCATTACAAGTGATTTTTAGGCAATACTTTGACAGTAACTGCTGTTTTAATGCAACCTTTCTCATCTGTTTGATCTGTATCAGATTCCAGGAAGTTGTTCTAGTCAAAGTCCTAACATTGTCAAATATTCCTTATATAGGTTGTTACATGCAGTATCCTAGGTTCCTTCACGCAATCCGGCTCAATAACGTGAATCACTAAAGGGTCGGTCGATTGTAAATAACCATATGTTGACTAACCGCTTACCATTTAGTTGAGAATTCTATTATAAAGAGATGAACAAGTATTTAAGTATATTATAAAGGATATCTAATTCACACTTAGCGCAACTCACTAACCAGTCCCAGCTCCGTGTACGCAGCTTTGATCCAAACTTAAAAGGCGAGGATTGATGGAAGTATCTAGCTGTCGAAACCGAGATCAGTAAGGCCAAGTCCTAATTTACGACTCCCGATCTTTATTATTTACACTGTATTCAGTGGTACATCACTCTAGTAGCCCTCATCTGGTAAAAATTATTGTATATCATTCAAACACTATTTGACCATCATTACTAGTTTTGGCAGGTGCTTATGGCTGTCGGTTTTGTTTTCTGTTGAGATCTTGCTCTAGAAGAATGATCATTTATTTTAGACATGTTTGTTGGAAATTTTCAGTTTTTTGACCCGCTAATCATTTAGATTTTATATTAAGTTAGTTCACTTTTATTGGAAAAGGTGTCATATTCATTTCCATTTATTATCATATTTTAGGAAAAAGCTGATCCAAAGTTAGTTGTTTGCTATCTACATTCGGTAAAATTTCTACCAGTGCTCTCTCTTGTTGGACTATATCAACGCGAAACCAGGAATGAAATAAGATCTAAGCTCCTTAGATCTGTCGGTATTTTGTGTTCCCTGGATGCCGCTTGCATTCGTATTTGCCTTGGGTCAGTTCTACCAACTGAGCTTATTCGTGAGCTACGAGGTTCTTCACCTTGTGGTAATTTACCCTTTTTCTTCATTTTATCTTTTTCGTGAAATGTAAACTCCATTTTCGCTGTTTTTATAAAAACATTATTCTTTCACAACAAAAATGATTACGCAAATGTTTGTACTAAAAATTAAGTCATAAAAGAAAATCATATTTTTTAAGATAGCCCTTAAAATTAAGTAGTTCCTTTTCGTCGCGAATTTCTTCGTCACAGAAATAATCAGAACTAATTTTTAAGTGTGAATGTTCCTAATATAAGTACTTAATACTACTGTGCACTAAGCTAATAGTTCTCAGATCCTATGAATGGGACTGCTTCTATCCTCTTTTTGAGAAGCTTTTTTGATAAAGAATTGTCTAGATCCAAGTTACTTCAATCATATACCAATTGAACCTGATGATTATTAACTGCAGAATTTTACTAAACTGACAGTACCTCATATACTCAACAAAATTACTAGTTAATAATCATAGGTTCTCACCTCGCTTTTCCTAATTCGGTTTGGGCGGTCAGCAGCATGGCTCAAAATCAAGCTCGTAAACTTCTATTTAGTAAATTAGTTAGACTATTATTTTTACATAGTCGATATTGACAGTCATCTTGAACCATAGCTCGTCGTACTTATTTCATTTTGTACTTCTGGTTATTATCCCTATTTTTTTAGAGATAATCTTATCTATAGCTTAGCAGCCATCTTTTGTTAGATATTGAGTTGAAGGTTTTCTCATTCAGAATGTAGTAGTTTTAATGCATGAGAATACCTCAAATAATTGTAAGGCAAAACTCAATAATGGTCGTTTTATATTCGAGTGATTGACAGTAGCGGGAAATGTCTTGTTATGTGTCGGGTAGAGATTGGAAACTTCATGCACATGCTTTGTAGAAGTAAACCAAGCGCCAATAATGATTACCGTCATGGAGTTATTAAAACGAATTAAGATGATGCAGAGAAAAAAGTTCTTTTTTAATAATATTTAATAAAGCTCGCGTCTTTCAGTTCTATATACCCTTATGACTATCAACAACTGATTACAAAACAATCGTCAGTTTCAGTCACAACAAAGATCGCGAATTCTAGTCATGCTTCCCTCTACCACGTGTTTCTTTCAAAAACCTTTTGCCGAACTAGTCAGGCCGATCCAAAAAATACGAATCGAAACGTGTCAATATCATCATTAATTTCATCCCTCATCCTACTATGATCCATATCTCTTAATTTTTTTAGTCTTTTTGATCACTTTGTTCCTTCTTATTTATTTAAACACACAGACATTAGTACACGGCGGTACCAAACAGATGTGCGCAACATAAGTCACTGGATTTGTGTGAGGGCTGGGATACTGCCCGGGTGCCCAAACCGAAGCAGGTGGTTTTCTTAGGAGGCCACAACCCGAGCCTTTAACCTAAAGGTCTGATCCACAAGGCAGTGGAGCAAAGTCAGGTTTTTCAGTCCCATTGTAACCGGCGACCAACGATTGGTTCATACGTCATTTGTCCCTTCAGGATCCTGGAGCCCATGTGCACCATTGGTTTGTAATCAGGGTTCCCTAACTCCCCTAGGTGAACTCTCCGTGTCCACCGACCCGTTCAAAGCGCCGGACATTCGTTTTTTCATTGTCTGTACATTTGCTAAGTAGACATTTAAATTTCACTTCGTAACTACCAATTATTTTCATCCTACTGTCTCATCATTCTCTAGGGTACTAAACAACTTTTGTTTGATGATTTAAAATGTCTAGTCACTTTGTTAAGAATGCAATACTCAATTTTATCGTCGATTGATCTATATGGACTGTGATTTGGCTGCTTTAGTAAATCGTTTCATTTGGAGAAAATTTCTGCCGAATTATCTTAAATTTTTATGCTTAAATTAACCATTCTTTAAAATGTGATTCTAGCTAATTATTTTGGATTCTCATATTTTTTTATATTTACATTTTCCAATTTAGAGATTCCACATCTTGCTTTACAGTTACGATTTCTTTCTATATTAATTAGTCAGTCTCAGATTCTTCCTGTTGACTTGTACAGTAAGTTGAATTTCTACTGTAATGTGTTCAGTTAGTCTGTGGTACAAGTAATAATTATGAGACCAAAAGATTGCATTATTTTCTAAATGTTTTTTTACGAAAATTTATGCTTTCTTAGTTTTGTAGCCGAAGCACTTGTTAACAACATATGGTTAAACTTTGTTCAAGAAAACGATATTTCAACACTTTTTGATCTCAAATATCTCAGCTTAGTATACTTTGGAATGCATAGGTTTTACATCATCAGGCTGGTTACATTCATTATTTGAATCGTCTATTATATGTTACTTATCCAAATATTTGAATCCATTGTTTATTACTAGAATATTTAATTATCTTTCATTCTAGGATGAAAATCCAGCCATCATGGTGTAGTAAGAATATCAATTTTATTTGTTTATGTTGGTACTGAAGTATTTATTCTTAAAGAGTTTAAATCACTTTCTCCTATTGTTTACTAGATATTGTATGTGAATTTGTTGACATCCTATTCTGTTTCCTTTTTTAGGTATAGTAAACCTGTATATTCGAAAGTGTTAGATTATCGAAAATCATCAGTTTCGTGAGTCCCTCACTTTCTAATGAATTGAAACCCGAATATAAGGCCTAATTCCTCCCGTCATATCAATGTGAGTAGGTAGTATTAAGACAATCGAACATACGTTTCTAAGGCTCACTCGTCGGATTTTATTCCGAAGTCCTGCATGTGGTATAATGACATTAAACTTGTTATGACGCGGGGAGTCCTAGATCTGATACTGGCACATAAAGTGCTACGCGCTATCCCCCTCCCAACTGACTACTTACGTAAGAAAACAACAAGGGAGGAGAACGTTTATTGGGCTGCCAAATAACATGCACAAATACTCAAATATATGCATCCGTACCCTTTAGAAAACCAATCTATTTCTTAGCTAATGGTATGCATATCTGTCCTTTGGGTCATTTCTGATTGTCATCAAGTGACCTCATTTGGTTACCTCTGATTAGCTCATTGTATCACGACTTACTCTTTGGATTATTATTTTTATTTATTTGAACACATAAATATTGGTGCAAGGGGGCACCAGATATTTATGCGCCACACAAAACAATGAGAATGGGAAGAGAAAAATAATGTAAGATGAGTATAAGCAAAAAAAGAGAACAATAATAACTACAGATTAGTGTATGCTAGTGTAATAATAATAATAATAATAATAATAATAATAATAATAATAATAATAATGGGGGAAACGGAAAGTACAGTCAGAAAGAATTCTTCCAGTTATGGAAGTTACAATCACTTTTTATGAAGAAAGTAAAAGGAGGTTACAGCAGGATCGCCACTAGCTTTTATTCTGAGCCATATCTGATAACGTCGCTAGCTACTGTGTTGCACCACCCCTAGGACCCCAACCAGGGGGTCGTGAAGAACCAACAGAAGCTAGCCCTTTGCAGCTTTTTTTCATACCACGACACCTTGTCATACACTGACCACCTATCCGCTTTTTCCAACCAGTCCCAGTGTCGTCAAATAATGCACGACGTGGAATTTTCTGGGACGACATTCGTAGAATATGTCCAAGCCACCGAAGCCGGTGTTTCAAGATGGTGACACCAATTGCATTATCATCTCTGTGCCCGAACACACGATGCCGAACCTCTGCATTACTAATATGGTGTTGCCACTGAATGTCATCAATCCTTCGGACAACGATGATCGAACACAGAGAGTCGTCTAACGTCCTCAACTCGGAGAGGCCAGGTTTCACAAGCATAGAGCAAAACTGTTCTCACCGACGTGTTGTAGATCCGACCTTTTACAGCCAGACTGACATCACGAAAGCGCCAAAGACGGCCCAGATTGGCATAAGCCGCTCTGGCTTTCACTATACGTGCATTGATCTCATCACTCACGCCATCACCAGCACTTATGCAGCTACTTAGATACACGAACTTCTCGACTACTTCTATCTGCTCACCACCCAGGGTGAGTGCAGGATCAGGGTCCAGCCGGTCTTGTGGAAGTACTTTGTACTTCGTAGGTGCAAAGCACATACCGTACCTACGGACATTGATTGCCAACTGATTAAGTGCGGATTGTATGGCTTGGGCATTATCGCACAGTAAGACAATATCATCCGCATACTCAAGGTCGAGAAGTCTTTCTTCAGCTAGTACTACGATATCTGTCGAATGAACTTTCTGGATAAGAACAGTTAACTGGTGGTGGAATTCATCCTTGATTGCATCCGGGCTGCAATCTGCCGGGGCATAGGCGGAAATGATGAAAAGACATCATTTCTCACGCCGATTTCTTCTCGCTTTGATGGAACTTTCTAGTCTAACAGCACATAACCGACTGTTTATGTAGATCCAGTCGATTAGTGCTGCCTCGTCTCGAACGCTTAGTGCGACACCAACGCCAGCAAGGCCAGACGAAGTTGCGACAGTGTCCCCGGATAAGCGCACGTAAAACAAGCCTTTTGAAGTGACAGATGAATAGCGAATTTGTAGTACTTTACCAGAGTCTTGAATACGGGTCTCGGATAGACAACAGACGTCGATATTAAGACTTTCTAAAGACATAACCAGCCGTATCTGTTGTCTGACCTGCATAAGTGTGCGAGCGTTGAAGGCAGCCAGTTTGAATGGTGCACGTGGTTTCAGAAAAAAACTATTTCAGCAGTAGCATTCAATTTTCGACCAGTCAGTGACTCGAGATCGTTTAGATAGAACAGAGTTTCCACCATGGGCGAGCTGCTGTATAAGTTGAAAAATAAGGATACACAAAGTGGGAATAAAAGAGAGTGAATAAATGACGTAGTAAAAAAAGGGAGGAAAAGTAAATGTGAACCGTCTGACTTTTAATCGAGACGAGAGTAGCATTTTCAGTAATTATCGTCATTTCATTTTATTTGTGTGTGGGCTGTGACACTGCCCTAACCGAAGCAGGTGGTTTTCTTACGGGGCCACACCCCGAGCCCTTGGCCTAAAGATCTGATCCACAGGGCACTGGAGCAACGTCAGGATTTGCAGTCCCATGGTAGCCGGTGACCAATGGTTCGTTCATACACCATTTGTCCCTTCAGGATCCTGTAGCCCATGTGCACCATTGGTTTGTAATCAGGGTTTCCCAACTCTCGGCTCGGTTAAAGCGCCGGGCATTCGCTTTTCGTCCTTTCGATTCTGTAGACAACACCCCCTCCATGAGAAGGCAGTAAGTTGGACTTCCCTGACAGAGGCTGGATACGCGTGGCCGTGCGAGAGTGTTTCGAGAGGGAGGGCGGGCTTTCCTCACTCTCGGCCGTACCAGGGCATTTGGGGTAAGTTTCACAAATAAAAATAAACCAGAACTCATAAAGTATTCATTGTTGTTTACTCTCACAAACCACAATGACTTTTTATTGTTGCAATTCATTGCTAAATTTACAATACGTCATGTAGTAAATGAGTATATTGATATTGCTTTCTTTTTAGCATCACTTGATCAAGAACTATTCACTCACCTCATTAATTTATGTGATACTTCAAAACAAGAGTCAAACTTAATTGATTTAGGGAATCACTCTCCTAGTAATCAAATCTTAATAACGGATGGATTGGATCCGTTTGAACAGAATGGCGGTCAGTATTACATGTTTTCTTATGCAGTGGCGTTGTTTTTGTTAGCATGCAACTGGCACTTTTGTTCAGTTTATGCGTTAAATTCTTCTGAAACAAGTTCGCCAAATTCAACAGACACCAAGACACCGTTATTAAAAGCGTTACTAGCCAAACCTGTCTCATCACGTTTATTCCTTGAAATAATTATTCAGACATTTAATCGTCACTGTAAGTTGTAATTGTTATCGATGTATTGTTTTTAGATTACATGATTCCTTTCTGTAATTAGTTCGCTTCAAATAATAGGTTGTAAAATGAAAACAAAGGTGTTTTCATATTTACACACTTTTCTAACAAAACAAGGTCTATAGGTATCATTACCAAGGTCTGACTTGATAATTTCGAATAAATTGAGCATTGGGTAAATTGTTATTAATAACCAAATGAAAATTAATCCAAGTTTAAATAGTACAAACGGAACAACACAAGAGTATTGTGATCAGTCAAAAAAACAGGTCTGAACAAATTAATATCATGTCATTTCGGTCAAGGTGATTCATAAGCGAAATGTAAATTTGTGTATATGTGCACAGTTAAGGAACACACCGGAATACTTTAATTCGCTTAAAAGAAAAAAAACCCTTTTATGTCAACATAGAACTGTCTACAAATTAGGTTGTGTCGATTGTGATGCCTTCTATATTTGAGAGTCATCTCGCGAAATTTTGACTGGAGCCAAAGAACATATTTGGTACACAAAGAAACCACCTAATCACCCCGTAGAACTGAATAGACTTCAAATTAAACCAGCAATAGCAGTTCACACCATTTTCAACAACCACTAAATCGATTTCAAAAATATTAAAATATGACAAAGGTTTTTCCAATTACAAAGAAAGGAGAGTAGCTGAAGCTTTCTGTATAATGCTTAATCTTACTGCTCTCAATATAAAAGAAGGCTTCACTATACATCGTACTATTTTATCTACTACAATGGTTAGCATGCTTATTTAAGAGAAAAATTCAATGTATTTGTTTCCTAACCATTCACGACTTCGTGGTTTTCTTTCGTAATTTCAGTGGATCCAATCTTCATGGTTACGTTTTTACCAAACGATAAAGATTGCGATTCAGCTAATAATTTAACACAATGGGCTAGCTTTGCTCGATTTGATGCTACTTGGACGACTTCGTCAGAAAAAAACTTGGAAGATTTTATTAAAAAGTTTGAAGCTAATTCATACTTGCGTAAAAATACTCACAATGATTTGGAATATATTCAAAGTCTTTGGACTCATAATGTAGGCCAAACAGCTGAGTTGGACGGTAAACCTGTCTTGCCTGTTAATGCTAGCCTAAACACACCAAATAACAGTGTAGTAAAATTTCTCTGTGACCTATTTTCGTACTCAGATACTGGAGCTTTAATATATCAGAATGATTTGGATGTAATCATTGGAGTGATAAACCGGAGGATACGAGATGAACCAGCTTCTGAAGTACGTTTTTTAGTAGGTGATGAGTAACTCGTATTTTTTTTATTACAGGTGATAAGTTGCTATCCCATCCATGTAAAATATATTTGTCCGTGAAAAGCATCTGTATTCTTTTATTTTACGGAGATGCTAGTTAGTTACTTAGTTCAATTCGAAAATCCACCAACTTTCAAAAGATAGTTTGTAGCTGCGATTGCTAGTGTTTATATTTCTTGATCATACGACCAACTATAACTATATCGAAATGTACCTTTATGTTTATAAATCTACCATTGCGAGCTATGACATGGAGAGGCTTTATGTACATGTGCCATTAAACGTCATTAATCTTTTTCTACCTCAACTAGTACTACTTCTACGGACAAGCGATTAGTAGGGATATTTAAAACCACTCATAGTCACCTTGCTTTTATAATTGTTCATAATGGTTTCTGTTCTACGTCCTTTACATGTATGTTTATGTTCATTCTTTGTATGTTTTACCGGCCACACCTATCCTTTTTAATTAATCCTGGGATATCACCTGTCAAATATGTCATCTTATCGTAGTATCATATCTTCTAGTCTTTCGAAGAAAACAAGTGCAGTTTTTTTATCGACCGTCTTGTTCACGTCCGTTTCCTGGTTATAAAGAGCGAAATAAATTAGCCGTTGTACTCACTGCAACTCATATACTAACGAATATCGATGTGCATATAAAGTTTTTGTCAGACTGTCGAAATACGTCTAATGTTTAATCAACAAGTACTAACCACCAAATTTTCATCTTAAATTATAATCAAGATAATGTTCAGCATGTTGTATTAAAAAAGTTTAGAACTTCACAGAGAGCGTAGGTTTTCTTCATGATTTACATGTTTTTTGTTGGTAAGTTCAAGGCAACACAAAAACTATTGTCTTTTACAAAAGTATAAATATAATCAAGAAATTTTTTTAAACTAGTTTTTCGTCGTTTAAAAAAATTTTTTACTCATATTTAATTCATATTAAAAAAATGTTTTCATTCATTTCAGCATCTGCCTCATTTACTGCTACTTCTTAACCTGATATGTATCAATGCGAATATTGCAAATAAAAGTTCTTTGAAAATTAACGATACCATGGAAATACTTGCACCTCTTTCACAAGCATCTGTTAGTCCACGTTGTAAAACACTGGCGATCGCTGCACATCAACAAATAAAATCGGTTATCTGTTCACCTGATAGAAAGTATTGATTGTTTATTAATTGTTAACTTAAAAAGATTTATTGATAATTCGTATTGCTGAACATTCCTTTTTTTTCTTCCACAAACAATTTTCATTATCATCAGAATTCCAAGTTTCTAAATAGAACTCTTTAAATAATACTATCCACAGAGTACTAAACATGTTTATTGTTATTATAAGAAATACAAAAATTAGTAAAACGAATTATTTTATCATATTCAGTTATTCTGAGCGATAAACAACTATAGATCGTGCTTGATAAGATTTCATTGATGTCCTTCATAGGTAAGTAGTAGGGGATTAGCTCCGAGATAATTCCTTAGGCTTCGTATATCAATCGCCCTGATGACCATTATTAAATAAATCCTGACGGTGTATGAATTTAGAAGGCAACACGAAGCGCTGACTACAGTTTTATTATTGAATTGCACAGATCACAAGCATACTAAAAAGTCAAATAAATCATATATATATATATATATATTAATAGTCTGCGTCATAATCATTAAAATTAAAACACGAATTTCAGCGAAGGGATCTCTTCTCAACGAATTTATTATCAAGCTGTACAATTGTAGATATATGAAAATTTTGTTTTTGTAAAAGAACTAATTCCATGAGGAAATGTGAACACAGTTAATAAAAAGGTTATAATACTAGATTACGTAATATGAATAATAACAATAGATTTGGTGAACATAATAAGATGATTAAAATGTTTTTTGTTATAATAATTAAAGGTCATAGAGGCGTAAAAACGAATATGATGATATGATGAGTATTCACGAATAAAACAATGAGAATATAAGATATAAGTAAAGGGGAGAATGCAGTAATAATAATAATTGGATAATCAAATTACTTAAGGCCAAGGTAACGATAAGACGTACTTCTTTTGTACGCATAGTTCTGGTTTAAGCTCCTGGATGGTAAGAGCTTCGGTTATTTTTAAGAGTTGGATGCGAAGAAATCTGGATAGATTTGAACGAATCATATAAACAACCTTAAAATCAATTTGTGGGTCTGTAGAATGGTTATAGTCGATTATGTGTTTAAGTATAGAACTCCTAATTGCTTTCCTTTCTCCCTTATAAAACCAAGCCCGGATATGTTCCCGTATCCGAGTTGAAAGCGAGCGCTGGCTACGGCCAATGTACCTTGCTCCGCAAGAGCAGGTGAACTGGTAGATGCACATAGAGGCGACCAGACGCAGAAGCTTGTCCTTTATGGACACAGAAAATAAGTTCCTACTAGTGAAGGTTATTCGCAGTTTAGTGGCATTAAATGTTTTTCTAATAGTTGTTGTTAGACGATTTTTGATTACTTCTGATGTTCGATCACCTTTAAATTCCAGACTTTTTTTGTTGTTGCATAAGAAACTTGTTGAAATAACCTGTGCTGAGAATTCTATATTGTACCAAAATATAATATTGAATAAAGCCATTAATAATAATAATAAAGGTTTTTCTTCGGAACGGAACAACTAGATTTCTTGTCGTAACTACTATTCATATTCTTTTCTATGAACCGTTCTGGGTAACCATTTTCCGTCAGGGTTTTCTTGAGGAATTCAAGTTCTTCGTTAATGCATTCCTTACTGCATATCTGACGTATTCGATAACATAAAGAGTGGATGAGGTTTCTCTTTCTACTTAATGAAACCCAGCTATAGAAGCTGGTTAGCTGTCCATTCCATGTTTGTTTTCTAAAGATGGATCTTTTTAAAGAACCATTACTCATCAGACGTGCATCGAGAAAAGGAATTGATTGGTCTCGTTCCCTTTCTAACGTGAAGTCTATAGAAGGGTGGCATGAGTTAAAGGTGTGTAAAATATCCTCTAAATCAATATTATTGTCACAAACGATAAACGTGTCGTCCATATATCTGACGTATAGGTGAAATTGATTGATCATTGAGCTTAGTTGGTCGTTTTCTAGTTTTGCCATGAAACAATCTGCTAAAATCGGACCCAATGGAGACCCCCTTTGCGATCCCATCCCTCTGTCTACATATTTCATTATTGAAACCAAACTGGACATTAGAAGTACAGCGTAAGAATAGTTCTTTCAAGTGTTCAGTCGGCAAACCTAGATCTATGTTGTTGGAATCAATATACTCACATATATAACATATCGTTTCGATTAAAGGTACACTAGTGAACAAAGAGTTAACGTCAAGCGATAGCATGCATTTTCCGGAAGTATTAACGTCCTTAATACGATCAATAAATTGAAAAGTATCATGAATAGAAAATTTAGATACTTGCCTTCTAAAATTTTATTCATCTTATTATGTTCACCAAATCTATTGTTATTATTCATATTACGTAATCTAGTATTATAACCTTTTTATTAACTGTGTTCACATTTCCTCATGGAATTAGTTCTTTTACAAAAACAAAATTTTCATATATCTACAATTGTACAGCTTGATAATAAATTCGTTGAGAAGAGATCCCTTCGCTGAAATTCGTGTTTTAATTTTAATGCGTCATAATCAATCAAAATTGTATCAGCTTACAGTAGTTCTGATATTCTACAAAAGAACGCCAACATGTATATAATATAAAGGATTGGTTTAAAATATTTTCTCAGGTATACTACGTTAATAGGATTATAAGACTGTTTACGTTATATTAGAACCAGGGTTCACGATCCAGAATAGAGAACCAGAGTATAGACTAGATAATACTTTACTTAACAGAAGTACAAGCAGTGAGTCCGGAGTAGAAATCAATAACAGGAAAGGAAATCACATATTTAATAGTCGGTAGGCTGTAGTTTGTCCACGATCAATATATTAAACGTGTAACTTTCAAATATTGCGAACTGTTAAAAACCCCACCACACACTTGTCATCATACCAGATAATTCTGAAAGAATGAATGTTTCAGCGAACAAGTGTTTTCATTGGTTTCATCATCAGGCTCTGCAGTTATAAGCCCATAATTATTGTTGCTTGCTAGTTAATTAAGAAATATGTTGAGAATGATGGGCTTTTGGTCTAAATACTTCAAGTTCATATCATTTGTAAATTAGGAAGGTTATCATGATTGTCAAGTTACAATCGATAATAAAATAGATCGTGTGAATAAAATAGTGTAGTAGAAGAATTTTGTTTGGATAGTGGAGATAATGTTGTGTTCGTATAATATGTAATAAGAGATGTGTTTTCAAGGTAGTTACGACAACAAGTCCATGTGAGTTGGAAAAAATGAGTGTTTAGATAACGAAAGGTATAGTAGATATAAACACAAAAGGGATTTGGGGGTGTGTAAGGGGTTTGTAGCATCCGGTCCAGGTATATGATCGTTCAGTTACGGTAAACAGCGGCCGGGTATATCTCTTGGGTATAATTCGGTTTTTTTTTAGTTGATCCAGATGTCTTCAGTTATGTAGAGGAGTCGTAATGTAGCTCCTTAAAGGGGATTACCTGGTACTTGATACAAAACAAAAATCTTTTAATATGATGTTCACTATCCATCAAGTGAGGAGAGATAGTGTTGTTTATGGATTTCGTTACACTCTCTCAGCCACCCCGGTATATGTTCGCTAGCGCGATAGGATGAAGTCCTCTGAATACCAACTACGTTTCGTTGGTATACACACATGGAGGAGCCCATCAACGCGCCGTTGTTTAAGTAATACTTTAGTTGAGAAAAGTTTTGTAATTGGGCCGGATTGAGGGACGACAGTTTGGTGTCCCGAAATCTGACCTTAAGCCGACAGTTCCTATTGGTCCAGGCCGTTGCTGCTACCTTGACGTGGTGGTCGGGCTTGCCTATCGTGATGAACTAAACGAGCTATCTTGTCTGAAACAATCGTTCCTCAAGGTCCTACTATGCCAGACATGTCGGTTGAAGAACGGTAAGACTAGAAGCAGCAAACCGAAAATCCAAAGTCGTACTACCGACTGTACAGAGGTGTGAAGGCAGTAAGGTATTCCTTTCAGACAACCAGCAGAACAGCAATGCTGCCTTCACACAAGGGGTGGGTTCAGAAGACGTCGACCCTGAATGAGTGTATAGTTGACGCTTTAAGTTTGCAAGAGTCAAGCACACATGTACACACAGTCGCTGTACGAAATAGGGCGAGAGTTGTCCACCTTGTGAAAACCTTCATCAGCACATCGATAAGAGTTGGTATTAGTGAACACACAGATCCTTCAATTGTGACCAGCACGATATGACATAGAAGGAAGTGGGCTTTGGAGATCGGTATGTTTCGATTCCTATTGTAGCAATGAGAGAAGAGAAAAGTGATAAAGACCAATTGTTTATTCGCTTTTGAATACATGGAGATCTCCGTAGATGGACTTGTGAATGTGACTGGCACATCAACATTCAGTTGGCCCTTGTACAACCTTGAGGTGTGAGATGGAGTCACGAATTCATGTGGGATATTATCTCAATGAGAATAGGACCACCACCGATTCGATGTGGATGTGGAGTAGGACGCAGCATCCAGAGGAGGACGTTGTCACAAAATCAAAAACGAACGAAACGCTTGAGAGATGATGGATAGACAGTCGGTGCTGTGATGAAGAGTCGTATGAAAGATTCGGGTGATCTGTGCTCTCCAAACCGAATTGAGGTTAATTGAAATAAAGCTCTGTAAGATAGTGAGTGACAATGGTGATCATTACAGAATCGGGTTAGTTGAATATTTTATGTAGGAGAACACAAACAGGACTATGTGTCTATGAATATGTGTAATGTCTGAGTGTTTGAGGGTTCCTCATTTCGATAGACAAGTGTGGATGAGACGAACAATGAAGAATGAGAATGTGTTTGTTTCGATGATTGACGTTGAAGTTTGACAATTTGTGACGTGTTGAAAGAGTGAAGACGGGCGCACGCGCGCCGGTAGTGTAGCGGTATCATGCAACCCTCCCACGGTTGCGACCCGGGTTCGACTCCCGGCCGGCGCACGGCTTTTATCCAAACCACCACTAGCACTCACATCACTCATCCTCATATCATTCGTACGAATTCGACACATCAACTCCATATACCACTCTGTGACCAACGGTCGAGGAGATTGGACAATCTGGACGACTGACTACAACCGCACAGTGAAGTCGGACAAGGCGGATCACCACACACACTGTGCCTCGTGCTCCTCTACATCGTGTCCATGGACAGTGACATGTGGCCGACAGTAACTGAGATCAGAGCATTGACAATGAGTTCGGGGACGACTAT